ACACACACACACACACACACACACACACACACACACACACACACACACAGGATGAGGGCATATGTAACTGGTAAAATCTGAAGAAACTGTGGATTGTATCAATGTCAGTCTCTTGCTTTGGATGTTGTACTGTAATTATGCAAGATGTTTCTTGGGGGAACAGGTGTGGGAGATTGTTTTTGCGTATTTATTGGCAATTTCCTGTAAATTTATAATCATATCAAAATAAAAAGGTTAAAAACGCAATAAAAATTTAAATGGTATAATAATCCCTATGGTGGTTATGAGAAGTAAATATACAATTTATTAAAGTATCTGGCACACAATAGGTGCGCAATAAATGGCAGCTCCAACTTCCTATCCCAACCAGATTGCTGCTTACACACATGTCCTTGACTTGCTCTAGCTTGGAGCAAATAAGTGGGTACTCTTGAGTGTGGGGCAAAAAAGAGTTATCCATTTGCGGGACCAGGAAGTCCGAATGCCTCAAGCTTCGGCCTAATTGTGGGTGAAATGACACGGGGGGATGGAGAGGACACACATTTCCTCATGCAAGAGAGAGAGAGGCCAACACATTGATTAGAATGCTTTGGCAGGTGTTTATGCACACCATTTACTGTTTAGTTGGAGTCCTGTTCAGAGATACAGTAAAAACTGAGAAGGTCCACAGTTGTTTTCCCTTCATCCATTCCTCTTAACTCTTGTCATTCCATCTAACTTTTTTAAAATTTTTATTTTATATTGGGGTATAGTTGATTAACCATGTTGTGTATTGAACTTTAATTTAAAAAAAAACACTAAATGCTTAAAATCTTTTAATGCCCTCTCTGTACATCTGATGGAAAATCCTGATTCCTTTCCAGAACCTAGGAGCCCTGGATGGTCTAGCCCCTGCCAACCTTTCTAATGAAACACACTTTCAGCCTCTAGACTCCAGCCACAACTGTCTCCTTTCAGCTCCTCCAATGTGCCAGGCTCCTGATCTGAGCCTTCACATATGCTGTTCCCTGAGCCTGGAACACTCAAAACAACCCTAATCCCAGGCTGACCCACCCCAGCAGGTCCTTCCCACCGTATTGGTCTTAGCTTAAATATTAATCTACTTATATAGTAGATGCCTCCAAGACAACCTATCTCAGTACTTTTCCTCTGAGACCTACTCTGTAATTTTCTATTTCTTCTGTTTCTATACCTTCTTTGCCTCATACAGGTTGCAAATATGCATAATATATGTGTATATGGAGAAATAAATAATTGTCAAATATGTATAAAACAAATATATGTATACACACATATCCTCTTGATTATTATTTATTACCCCACTAGATTGTAATATAGATGAGGGCAGAGGCCACATCTGGTTCTGTCACTTCTATGTGCTGAACAGCTCAGAAAGTACCAGAAACACAGTAAGTGCTCGATACAAAAGTCACAAATATCTGACTGATCACCTTTCTTTGAATCCATGATTGTTGCGCTTTACCTGGGCAGAAAGCTGTTGGATTTTGTTTTCTCTTCTTCCTATTCATTCATTCAACAGCATTTACTGGCGCCTACTACATAGCAGGCATTTGTGCTCGTCACTGGGAATATAGTGATAAAAAAAGCTATGATCTCTGGCCTCATGGAGCTTGTATTCTAGTTAGAGAGAAAGATGATTAAACATGCAATAAGCGTAAAGCAGGAAAAGTTCTATAATAGGGGTTGTATTGGGGACTGAGAGAACAGAGAGGATAAGATTTTTCTTCACTGTCCTTTGTGCACTTCTCAGAGTTCACTATGTGCTACCCACTGGAAGGGACTGAGCTAGTACCATCCTTTCAAGGAATTTAAATCAGAGAAACCAGCTAGATCACTGTGATTGAGGCCGTGATTCAAAGAGATCCCTTGTCTATCATGATATCAAAGGACTTGTCCTGGATATCATTCTCCTTTATCACACTGGCATGTGGTGATGCTCTATCTGACACAGAATATAAACTCCACAAGAGCAGGACTTTGTCTTATTCAGTGAGGTATCCTTAATGCCAGGGACTGAGCCAAGCACACGGTAGATGCTCTATAAAGATTTGTTGAATAACTGAATGAAATTACACGTCGAAAGACCAAGGCTTAGAGAGGTCAGGTGTTTTCCCAAGGTCACAGGGGAAGAGGGTGATAAATCTCATCCGAATTCTACTAATTCTAATTGCTACTGAGGGACTTTTGTTCTCCATGGTTTAAAGGTCAAGGATCAGACTCCCCCATGTCCCACTCCCAGATAGGTGGCAAAGAGCCCAAGGCCAGGATCACATTGACACAAACCTTCCATCCCTGTTCCCTAAGTTCCCCTGGAAGGTAGAGCCTCATGTCTGGGGAAGGGTCATTTCTAACCTAGGCTACACAGTTGTACATTTCTTCTTTCACAGCTCTACGCAATGGTTCAGATCTGGAAAAAGCCATCGCCACTGCCGCTATGATTTTCAGAAACTTTTCTGACCCTGATGGCAAACTTGGGAACGCTACTGCCAAAAATCTACTGCAAACCCAATTTAGGAATTTCACAGAGGTAAGAGAACTAATAGGTACCAAGAAACAGGGGGCCACGCCGTAACGGCTGGCCCGAAGAGTCAACAACTCCAGCTCGAAGGCACCATTATGTTGCTTCATTCCACAAATGTTTATTGGACACCTACCCTACGCCAGGAAATGAGCTGTGCCCTGGGGTTAATGCAGTGAACAAGCTAACAATCCAGCAGAGTAGAGAGATGTGCTGAAAAAGTAATTAGAAATAGTCAGAGGACCGTGAAAGGGTAGAACATGCAGTGACAGAATAAAACAGAGGGACCATCTTGGGCTTGGTGGTCAAAAAAGAGCTCCTGGGAGATTAAGGTATAGCTAAGATCTGAAGAATGAGATCAAGAGTGAGCAGGGACCGGGGGCGGGGTGCGTGCGGGATGAGAATTATGGCATTCCCAGCAGAGGATTTGGCATAAAGCATGTCAAAGACCTATGAGGGCAAGTGTTGGTGAGAAGAGGAAGGGAAGTAGGAAGCAGTGGAAGAGGAGGCCGGGGAGGTGAAGAGAAGCCACTTCTTACAGAGGCATAGTGTGAGGGCAGGAGGAAGCCAGGGAAGTTTCTAAATCCGGGTCGAAGAAATTACACCAGCTGCAGTAGGAGATGAGACTGTGGTTGGGATGGGGAGTGAAACGAAGAAAAGAGGAACCGTGGGGAAGGAATCCAAACAAAAGATGTTGGTTTGGACTAAGGCGGCAAATATGGGAGGCATCTGGAAGGTGGAATGAGAGGGATCTGATAACCATGAAGGCTGAAGAGCAAGGGGGACAAATAATGATACCTCAGTTCTGACCGTGGGAGGAAGTGGGTGGTGGTCCCATTTCCAGAGAAGAGGAAGGCTGGAGAATAAGCAGATTTGAGGTGGGGAGAGAGGTGGGGGCAGGTGATGAGTTCTGTTAGCATGTGTCAAGTTTAAGATGTCCTTGAAACTGTCAAGTGGAGAAACTCGGACAGCAACAGGATATGTGAGCGGGAAGGTCAGAATAGAGATCTATAACACTGAGAGTGGGCAATGTGAAAATGGTTACTGAACAGAAGGAAGTGACCTAAATCACCTAGAGGCATCTTTCTCAAACCTCAGCCACCTGAATACCATCTTCAATATTTTTCCCATATCTGCCTATAGCCTGTATTATAATGTACTTAGAACTTGTTAAGAGAATGCTCTACTTAAAGGAAATTATTTTATAAGGAGCCTTGATCACCATTTTAAATGTAAATTCAGTGGGTAAAAGTGGAATGTAGTAAAAAAAATATAGATGACTGTTCATTCTTATTTAATATTTATTCTTGCATCACCTAAAACTGTGTTACATTCTACCAGCAGTACATGTTCAAACTTTGGAAAGTAGTAGCCTAGGGAAAATGCATAAGAAAAAAGGAGGGCCTCACACAGAACCTAAACCACCAACATTTAATGGTAGATTGAGCAAGAAAAAACTTAAAAGTAAACAGTCTCTCAGGTTCTATGGGTATTCTGAGACGTTTAAAAGAGAAGTATTATAGTTCCTTTAAGATATAAATATATATGGTTTCAGCATACCACAGTGATATAAGGTGCCACCCACTGGGGGAAGCTGGGTCAAGGGTACAACTTCCCATGAATCTATGATTGTTTTAAAAGAGTGTGTGTGAAATCGGCTTTTTTTTTTAATTCCACAAGTGATTTTTTTTATAGCCTGTTTCATAGAAACAGTGAATAGATTGGTGGTTGCCAGGAGCTAGGGGAAGGGGAAAATGGCGTGGTATAGGTCAGAGGGTGCAAATTTCCAATTTTAAGAAGAACAAGTTCTGAGGCTCTAATGCACAGCATGGTAACTATAGTTAGTAATACGGTACTGCATGCTTGAAGGTCACTGAGGTAGATCTTGAGCATTCTCCCCACACACACGCACACACACACACAAGTTAACTCTGTAAGGTGATGGATGTGTTAATTATCTTGATCTTGGTAATCATTCCACAACGCATGTGTATTAAACCATCATACTGTACACTTTAAATATATACAATTATATTTGTCAATTATTCCATAATAAAGTTAAAAGGGAGTGTGTGCAGCAAGATCTTTTTTGACCCATCTCCTAGAGAAATGGAAATAAAAACAAATGGGACCTAATGAAACTTAAAAGCTTTTGCACAGCAAAGGAAACCATAAATAAGACAGACAACCCTCAGAATGGGAGAAAATATTTGCAAATGTAGCAACTGACAAAGGATTAATCTCCAAAATTGATAAGCAGCTCATGCAGCTCAATATCAAAAAAACAAACAACCCAATCCAAAAATGGGCAGAAGACCTAACTAGACATTTCTCCAAAGAAGATATACAGACTGCCAACAAACACATGAAAGGATGGTCAACATCACTAATCATCAGAGAAATGCAAATCAAAACTACAGTGAGGGGGCTTCCCTGGTGGCGCAGTTGTTGAGAGTCTGCCTGCCGATGCAGGGGACGCAGGTTCGTGCCCCGGTTCGGGAGGATCCCACATGCTGTGGAGTGGCTGGGCCCGTGAGCCATGGCCGCTGAGCCTGCTCATCCGGAGCCTGTGCTCTGCAACGGGAGAGGCCACGACAGTGAGAGGCCCGCGTACTGAAAAAAAAAAAAAAAAAAACTACAATGAGGTATCACCTCACACCAGTCAGAATGGGCATCATCAAAAAATCTACAAACAGGGCTTCCCTGGTGGCGCAGTGGTTGAGAGTCGGCCTGCCGATGCAAAGCACACGGGTTCGTGCTCCGGTCCGGGAGGATCCCGCATGCCGCGGAGGGGCTGGGCCCGTGAGCCATGGCCGCTGAGCCTGCGCGTCCGGAGCCTGTGCTCTGCAACGGGAGAAGCCACAGCAGTGAGAGGCCCGCGTACCGCAAAAAAAAAAAAAAAAAATTATGCAATAAACAGCTTTAAATATATAGTTAGACAAATTAATGGCAAAAGACAGTATTAAATTATTGAAATTTTTTTCATTTTATTTTTAATTAATTGAAGGTACTGATAATGCACCTGGGGTTGCCTAGGATGGTTCTGATTGCTAATATTCAGACCCAGTGTAACTAAAAAGTCTATGCGTACTCTTCAAAAATGTTTAAATAATATAGTCTCTGGTGCTTTACAATATGATAGATTTGATACCACTGAATATTGCATTGCTTTTGCTGCATCAGTAGTGTCTTAGAGCACTTTCCTTATAATCATTGAGTCCCTCATTCATTCACTCATTAAACAATGTGTTGAACCTCTACTTGATGGTATTGCTGAGGATACAGTAATTAACCAGCTAATCTCTGCCTTCAGACATGCCTGCAGAAGTCCAGCAGTAGAGATAGGCTATGAACAATTCATCAATCAATTGCATATACAGTATAATTATAACTGTGATAAGGGCTACAGGATGCTAAAAGAGCTGTTATCACCAGACCTGGTATCAAAGTCAGATAAGCTCTACTGACATTCTGCAAAAGGCAAAACTATAGGGGGGGCGCGGGAAGAGCGGTGCTTGCCACGGCTGCAGGTGGGAAATGGAGTTGTCCACAAATAGGCACAAAGGAACTTTTAGGGGGGATGGGAATATTCTATAACTTGATTGCGGTAATGGTTACATGACTGCACACATTTGTCAAACTCTTAGAACTGCACACTAAAAAGGGTGAATTTTACTGTATGTGAATTCTACCTAAGTAAATATGACTTAAACCCCCCAAATCCCAGTATTTTTGTAATTTCTGGCCATGATTTAACCAACAACTCCTTGAGAATATGATCTAAAGCTGGGCATGTCTTAAGGACACACAGCCCCTATGGCTATACCTATGTTCCTGAGTTTAAATTATACACACACACCCATCAATGCCTGAATCTTTGAGATAGACTTGCTCAAAGACTTTTACTCATTATAATATTATTGTAGCTTCCTGAGTTCCCTCCCTCACCTCCTCGTTTCTTCCCAGCCCAACATGTTAAGGATCCCTTTCCAAAGGGAGACCTCTGACCCTGGTCTGGAGAAGCGTTATCTCATCTTGCAGTGTTCCAAATCCACCAAGACCCGACTCCTTAGTCCTCCCTACTTTCCAAACCTTAGGCATTCTAAGTCCAAGAGTTTATGTACCATGTCAGGGAAAGCCCCAGACTTTACTCTGTCACCATCTTAATAGGAGGAATGTGTGTTCAACAAGACTCAACCCATGTGCCAGGTACTGGTTTAGGGGCTTTACAAATATTAACTCCCATCATGACCCTCTGAGGTAGGTATTAGTATTATCATCTCACAGATGAGGAAACCAAAGCACAGAGGTTTTGATTTTCCCAAAGTCACACAGCTGGCAGGTTGGAGAGTTCTCTGCCCTCTCTGTGGGCATTGTTGTTTTGTTTTAATATTAGACTTCTTCATGAGCAATAATATAATTTAACAAAAATAACTGTGCACATTTCAGGCACTGTGTGAGAGAGAGCGTGGTACCAGCTGGGTCCTGGAGAACCATTTGGCATTCCTCAAATAGAATCTGTGGGCTGTGCTCCCTCCAAGCCCTTTGTATTTTAGTCACAAGTAGCTGAATATGGCAACCTTGGTGACCAATCGAAAGGTCAGATTCACACCTTTCAGAAAAGGAAAAAAGAGACCCTGGCCAATGGTATGAGGAGGAATCTTGGAGCCATTCCAACCCTTGGGGCTCCCAAAGGATTTAAGATTCTCCATCCCGGATGGGAAATCACACTCCTCTGAGGGGGAAATCAATTATAGAATCTATTTTAGCCTGATGCAAAGAATGAAAACAGAGCAAAAGCTCTTGGAGCATCAGTGACAGATAAATTGATGAGCACTGTGCTAAGACCCTAGATCACAGGAGCCTCACCTCTTGGTTCTGGTCCCAGGACCATGAGCTCTACTCTTCAAACAAAGGTTCCATCTTGAAAATATTACTGGTCATCACAGGTGATTATGGATGCAAATCTGTCCTGGTATCCCTTGGTTGCAAAGAACTAAGCGCGCTGG